TGATCAATCCAGGGGACTTTGTCTCAAGGGAAATTGACATGCTACTCAAAGCCGCAACGAGCAATGAGAATCACCGCGAACTAAACCACAATAAATACGCGAACTGACCGCGCAATAAATATCTTGACGCGGCGTAGCGACAGAGGAATCGACCTTGGAAGTCACCCCGGTCTTGAGGCCGTCTTAACAGTGACCCATCCCTCATTTTAAATCGTTTGCTGGTATAAATTCGCGGGCTCTTCTCACACAAATGTGTTTCTACACAAAGATATCAACTGTGGCGATTCCATTCAGCCCCATTCTCCGCGAAGATATTTGGTCGTGTAGTAAATGTGAGCAGCTCTACCGCCAGGAAGGCCAATCATTGGTACTTCATCAGTATGATTGTCAGTTCGGGTTTCTTGAATTGCCCTTTCACCGATAAAATCTATCGCGCCACCCAGTATATATATATCGATAGTGGGGAATAATACAGGGTCGTCCGGATTATTCTAGTACTGGCAAAGTCTGGTTCGTGTAACGGTTCGAACCTGAACCGAACTGAACTGAATGCGGTGTTCAGGTTCAAAGTTTGACCTGTGGCTCGAACCGAACACCAGGTTCATGAACCAAACCCCGAACCAAGATTTTCACTATTTTCAGTGGTAATTTCGAGCTCAAGCTTGTAAATTAATACTCATATATGTGTAGTCCATAATTGCTATCGCACCGCAGACATTATAACCTGGGACCCTATATGCTGGAATGCATCACAGTTTCACCTGTGTTAAATTGCATGGTTAGAAATTTAACACACCATGCAATTCTTTTGAGTTGAAGGTCATTGAAATACCATCACCTACAAAAATGCTATGTTGATGTTCGAGTGTTCCACCAATGTGGATGAATAAATAGATGTATTTCTGAATCGACTGAAGCCTCACATAAACACTTACAGTAAGTACACAGGCAAACAACATAGTTGATACTAGCACACAAATCAAGCTGTAACCAACCCAGCTTCTTCCTTTTCCAACTTGTCTTCTGATAAATCCTCCTCCATTTCCTCCACCTTCCCTATAGGAGCAATGAACTCAGTGAGTTGAGCCAAGTTTCTTTTGTGCTGTTCCTTGACATCTTTACCAATCCCAACCAACCTCTCATCAATATCTTGAACCCGTTTGGCCTGGCCTGAGTGCTCAAAGAGTGGCCTTGCTGTTTCCCAAAGCTCCAGTGCCCTCAGTAAATCACCATGCTTGTTGGAGAGATCCCCAAGTCGGATCATGCACTCTGCTCTGCTCCGGTGAACATCCATCTGGGTGAATCCCTCCAATGCAAGTGTAAACAGTGAAAAGGCTGTGGACTCATCATTCTCCTTCAGGAAGACATCCCCCATGAATTGCAGAGCCTTATGGATTCCCAGTTGCTCTTTTGCTTTGAGTGAATGTGCAAGAAGGACAACAGTCCATGAGGTTGGATGATAACACCCCTCCCAGCGATTAATATCTGCCAGTCTTTCCAGGCAGTAAGTCACTGTACTTCCCCCACCCAATTCGAAGGCATTTACAAAATAATGTGCTTGACAAATCCCCTTCTCTAAGATTGAGATCTGCCTGAATGGTATCACATGCAATAGTCAACAGTGCGTGGTTACTTGGTCCGAAAATCACTTGTGATGCATCAATCTTCTTTTGTATCTCGGTCTTTGAAGTCCCCATCAGGACCTCTATCTCAGCAGTGTTCACTAGGGAAGCAGCTTGCTCATGATTATCAGTAGCTGTGTTTTGAAGAATTTGAGTCTGGATGTTATGTGCCTCGACATATTCTGATTTGAGCCTGTGAACCTCGGCCTGAATTTGAATGAAACCAGAGTTAAGCTCCCCATGAGACAGACCACATAAACCCAGAATTAGTCTGCCCCTGGTGGCCAGGGTAATGCATTCTTGGTATTCACCAAGGCATCTCAAGCAAAGGGCCTCATTGTATAGTGCCCGTGCCTCTCTGTACATGTCCCCAGAGATTTTGGCAAGCCTCTGTGCCGTGTGTGCAGAAGCTCGACCAGCAGCATGGTCACCAGCAATTGTTTTAAATTCTCCGAGGGTATTAAGTGCATCACACTGCCTCCGAAGGTTGTTATTTCCTTGTGCCAGGGAGAGGGCATTCTGAACATGATGTAAAGCCACTGAAGTGTTGGGGTTGAAATAGAAGTAGTAGAGTCCGAGATGACGGTGAAAACGGGCTGGGAATTCTGTTCAGTCTATAAAATAGGAATTGAATCTGAAACATACACTCAAGGTTTAGGTCATCAACGACACCCCGGATCTTGTACCTACAGTAGGTTCGGATCAAGCCGCCTTCTCAGCACACGTGACATTCACGTGCTTCGCAGGGAATTCTGAGAAGGGGCTTGTGCCAAGATGCCAAAAAACAGCAATGTGTTCTGACCGCTCTCCTGCCTCAGTAAGCACTCCAATCTCTTTAGACTAAAGTAACAGTTTGTAGAGTAGAAGTACAAAAGTGATTTAGCTTGTTCAGAATTCCCTTAGGATCCTTCAAGGTCTCAGGAAACCGGTCGAAACTTGTGCTTTTTCGCAAATCAGAAGAATTGGAATCTGCTCTACCTAATCATACCCTCAGTGGAAATTAGAATCTGAGTCGGCAGTTCGATTCTGTTCATACTCTAAATGCCAAAACCACTTTTTTTACCATGAGCATAGGTCAAAATATGAGCCTGTAGGTCGAAGACGAAACGAGACCAGATTTGGACGTGCTTGGCCATCTATTCAATTTGGTTTCCATTATTTGGAAAACTCTGCCCAAAATATTTTGTTGCGGTAGTTGTGACCCCATACAGCCAAGGAACACTTTCTAATGTCCCTGGAAGCCTTCACTGCTCGCGGTAGAACCAGGTAGACCGCCAAGTCACAGCTGTCACAGATGTGGTCACACGTCTCAAATGAACAAATCTATATTTTCTGCGTGAACAAAGCAGTTCTCGGCATACTTCTTGCTGGTGGACCTGCTGTAAATGATGTCCTGAGTCGATCGAGCCCATAAAAACATCGGATTGAGGAAGCACTCCTAGAAGTTTGATCTACATCTGAAATGCATGTTCCGGTTCCAGAAGCGAGTGTACTGCAGTAGCACCTGGTTACTTTCCGCATCCAAGTATCCAAGGCTACAGAGAGACATCCAAAGAACAATTTATCAAGTTAGACCATGAGGGTCTGAGTGGAAATGACTGAGAAAAAGATGTTTGAACACATAGTCCATTTTTGGCAGTTTGTACCAAGCCTCTCTCCGAGAATCACCGGCTCGCCGGCGCGGAGACAGGCTTGCTCCGAACCTATACCTACAGCGGTTTCAGATGATTTTAGGAGTTCATGAAAGTGTTTCAAAAGTGGTTGTATCATCTGCTCTGTTGGAGGGAACAGTTTTCCCATATATTCCCTGATAGGCACCAAGACCTTCAAGCATTTGCGGTCATCAATGTATGCTGTAATGCGGACTGCGGTTCTACGAACTGCCTGACCCGGGGTGGGTATAGTCAAGTAGTGTTTACAGAATTTAATTCGTCCTCTAGGAGGAAATTGCTCTGTCGCAGAGCTGCGTAGTTTCAAGGTATGCTAGTGCGCAGTATATAAAATTGTGGTGTGTGTGTGTGTACAGTCCTCTCCGTATGGAGTGAACACTTTGCCAGGTTCCTTGAAGATTTGGTTCTTCGTTGGGGGATGGCCTTCCGAATGTACTGCGGATGGATAGTTTTCTACACTTCCTCGAAGGGTTCGCTCCGCAATGTGAATGCTGTTCCGTTCCGGAGTGCTCGGGTTATCTGTTATACTTTATCCACCCGTCTCGAGCGTATCAGACGGCAGGTCTCTTCAGCACAGTGTAACACTATACAGACGGCTATAGCGATTCCCTTTGTAGCCTGGTTTCTCCATTGGTGAACACCTTGAAACGGAGTTACTTCCGTTTCGAAGACTCAGGGGTGAAGTGTGCGAATTGAATGGGGAAATGGTATGATCATGTAGGATAGGCCTTCCATATACGATGTGGTGGGTTCCTCGCACGGATATGTGTTCGAACTCCTAATAAGAACGGTTGCACAAAGCCCAGTTAGGCTACTGGCCGTTTGGTGGTGTGCCGCGTAATCTGCTACCCCGCGCTTTTGACTCCGGATTGACTATATTTCCTCTGTATCAATTTATCGAAACGGAGGTGAGACGGACGAGGTTCCTTGACAAGCCCTTTAGGTGACCTTGGTTTGGCCTACTATTGGGCGGCACGACCTGTAGCGGAGTGTATTCAATGTAAATCCCCACCCTGGTGGACTTCAGGGGGAGTAGCTTTAGGTATATGCAGTGGGAGGCAATAAGATGATTATTCTGTATCATACAGCTGGCTTTTATACGGTTCTCCGTCCGGTACTCATGCGTGTAATAACTCCTTGTTTAGGAAACAGAGTCTTCCTCCATTTCCATTCTGACTCGCCACGTCGATCTCCATGCGCTCCCTATGTTTGAAGGGGCTGACAGTCAATTCGGATTTGCCTCGTGCCATCTCCGTTTCCTGTTTGGTCACCACGTTTCCCAAGAGCCCACTCTGTAGGCCGGTCCGCCATCGGGCCGGCTCGTATTGAAGTTAAATGTGCTTCCGTTTCCCGGAGTCCGAATTATAGGTGAACAAGTGCATCCCCGAATCACGGTTGAATGGTGCAGTTGGTAGCACTTGCGGTTGAATTGAGAATAACTTCATGACCTACTCGCCACAGGACCTCTGTTTGATTCGGGGTTCGGCCTTCCCACTATCTGGCTATAACTTTTTATGAGTTACTTCCCGTTTTGCTTATTGGAATCACGGCTGGGTGGTGTAATGGTAACGCGTGCAATCTACTTGAATCTCCCAAGCTTTCATCTCCGAATTCCTTGTTCGATTCGGGGTCCGGCCTTGGGTGTGAAAGTCGGGTTTTTATTTTGACGGGACTCGTGTTTCTTTTGGATTCGGAATCGTGAAGCCGTGGCCTGGTGGTGTAATGGTTAACACACATGAAATGAATAACCGTGTAGATTGGCTTCTTCACGAGTTCTCCGTTCGATTCGGAGTCTGGCTGTTCGCTTAGTCCAATGAGCTTTTTTAATTCAGGTCCGTATCGTTTTTATCCATTTGTTGAGGCTCTCCGTCCATAATCACAACCAGGTGGCGTAGTGGCAACGCACGCAGGATAAGTCCCCGCTCAACAATATTTCCCTGTGAGTTCTTTGTTCAATTCGGGGTCTGGCCTTGTGGAATGGTATGAGTCTTTTTTATTCAGAGGTGCGGCAATTGTCATATTCTTGGATACGGAGTCACAATCTTGAAAGCTTGTTTTTCCTCCTGTTTGGCTGCGTTCGGAGCACATCACAAAGTCACAGCTCACAACGCCGCAGCGAGGAGTCAGTACCTGCACCCTTCACCTAGCTTGACCTAACTGACCTATAGTTCTAGTGCGCACCACTGCAGGTGTTATCCTATAGTGAGGTGAATTTCTTGAAAATCTGCATTGATTTCGCAAAACGGCTACATGACCGTGGATACCCGGGGAGATGGCTTTGTACTATCTTTGAGGAAATCAGGTACAAAGTTGAGCAACCAAATGTGCTGAGATCAGCCGAGCCCAAAAACTCGGATGATGACTGTGACCTGCATGTCTTTTAAGCTCACCCAAAATCACAACGTGGGAAGGAATTGACCTCCAACTATGTTGGCAGGAGCTGGATGGAGCTTGGAATGAACTCGGGGCTGGCTACCCAAAGTTCAGATTTCTTGCATTCCTCAAAAAACCAACCTCGCTGGGTGACCGGCTTAACATTTTTAACCAAGGCACACTTGAAGTGTATGACCGGCAGCTAGTGGAGAACATTTAATTCTCTTTTTTTCTCAATCCTCAACATGCACCGTGTATGACCCTTCAGGCCCCATTCTTACAGCCTCGCATTTCTTTGGATTTCAAGTTTTTTTTTGAGTTTTGAAGTCCTGTTCTTCACTCAGTTATAAAAACTAAATGCCCAAACCTTTCAGCTTGCAAATAATGAGTTCCGAGTTTGATTGTAAAAAATGTGGGATACACCTCTTCTTTTGTACCCTTGAATGGGCCACTGGGGTAGACCACTGTACCTCAGACTCATTCTCCAACCCTTCACCAGGCATTTAAGTCTGTTGTAATTTGAACTTTATCTATTGAGGTGCAAAATTCGATCCACCTACTTAAAAAAAAACATTTTGTGCATGCTAGGCACATGGGGTGCACCGTGTAGATTTTGGCGGTACGTCGAGGCAGTTCAGAGGAAGTGTGGGCCCCAAAAAAAAGTTGTGCGAATCCCGTTACAACATGTTTGTCTTGTTTGACAAACACCTCTGGTGATAAGTAAGGGATCAGACACCACCTGATTGTCATGATCACACTTGGATCACGACTCGGCACACTTGGATCAGCACGGCACGGACGGCAGCACTTTTCAAATTCCGATCGAAGTTATTCAAACCAGGGGGTTTCAATCAGCATCGAAACCCCCTCTACGCCGAACAACTGTCGCATTAACCCTGCGCAGTGATTAGTTACTAGGAAACTACGATCACCGAGTATATTTATTTTACTATATAATCAGTAGTAGAATCTCCTGTACAGTAGATTCTACCTCGTCTAATCTCAGGCCCACTTTAGCTTGATACAGGCTTGCGCTCTGGCTTTAGACCCCTCAGCTCTCATTCCCTCTGGGGTCTAATTTTATCCACACCCCGCACTATCTAGGACATCTTTCCTTATACTCTGGAGTTGTGATTTTCTCATACCCCGACGTCTGGTGAACGGTGAAACGGGCAAGATGCGCTGACTACGGAATGGGCTAAACTAAGCTCTGAATGCGGGCTAGCTGAACAACTAACACACCACACACAAAACACACACACACCAACCCAATCCTATCTAAACTGACTCACGGGGGACGTAGCGCGTCTTCCTCAATGAGTTCGGGTCCTGAGTCGTAGTATGCGACTGCGGATCTGATGTCTAGAGCACGTATAGTTGTTCTATGCGTTCAAAACGTCTCAAAGTGCAGCGTCTAGACGCTAGTTGGCTTGGCTGCTTGGCTTCTAAACAAGACTTCCAGGGAAGGATGTACAGGTTTTATATATAAAGGATTGTTACTAGGAATCGCACCGAAGTACAGGTGCCTAGGCGAGGAGGTGTAGATTTGGACTGAAAATCCCGTTCAAGGGCTATGCTGCTTCGTCTAGACGGCCTCTGGTGCACAGCTAGCCTCTCGAGAACTAGCGGCAGACTCGGACTCCTTTGAATCCAAGATCTTTTCCGTACACTTGAGTTTATTAAGGACCTCAAAGTACTATCCAACACAGCTAAACGACCGGTGGTTGTCCCAGGGTTCTCCCAAAGTGCTGTGCCGGGCGTGGTCGGTTTTAGCAAGGTGTTTCCTGGTCACCCAATGCGGATGCCCTGCTAGAGTCCACTCGCGACGCTTAGTGCAGTTCTCAAGCCTTCTAATGTGCGTGCGGTCCTGATTTATACGTGGAGGCAGTCGCCACTCACGACCTCCCAACGCGAAGCTTTGCTTATAGGTTCACACAAATGTTCTGGATCCAACAAGCAACGCTGCGATTTTATAGACTACTGTTACACAGAGAGAGATGGTACTTTAATCTCCGCTAAGTGGCCTGAGCACACCCGAATCGTCGTAACGATGAGCGGGGCATACACTGGTCTGTTGCGGTATTTTATGAGGCTTTATATATGATTCTGAGAGAAAGAGATGATGTAAAGAGAAATGAGTAAAACAGGCCGATGTTCTGGTCATGCGGTCAGCCTCAGAAGGCTAACCGGGTCTATGCTGGCTCTGGGCTTGCCAGAAAGTCATATAGATGACGATCTTGGGGGCCCAGTTCGGGTATATGGCCAGTTCGGGTCGTCTAGACAGCTCCCGACCTTGTAATTTGCAAAACTCCGTCCCCCGACGCCGGACTGCTCACCAATCCGCTCGGATACCCCGATAGCGCACGGACTAGACATATATACGTCGGCCCATGGCTACATCTCAACAAGAACTCCTTCGTCATGTTTGTGCTTGTGGCGCTCCAACGCTGACCACGTCGCGTTGGTCACCTGACTGGCTAGAGGGGCACTTTAGGGCGACCCCTCCTTATATCCCTAAGCTCCTTGCACCGTCTAGACGCGGTACCTTGCCGTCTAGATAACCTATAGAGTCGTTCTATGCTTGTCTAGACGCCTGTAGCTTAGTGCACTGACTCGTCTAGACAGACCCTATATCATGTTGCTTGCCCTGCTAGTGAAGACTATGGCTTTCCTGTGCAGTCGTTGGTTCCTTTGATAGGGTGATTGACATTCTGAGGTACTAGACCCCGTATAGACCTCCTTGGTATGTGTACTTCGCACAGTGTAACACTTGTAACCGCGCCTAGCACTGTACTAATACTACAGCCAGCAGCCGGAGCTCACTCTGACTCTCCTTTGTACCACCGAACAGAGTTCTAGTAGGTATATTGACCCGTCTAGACGACTGTATTATTACTTAGTAGCGTCTAGACAGACTATTGCTAAAAAGCGCAAATAATAGCCGGATGGCAGCGTATTCAACGACACGCCGTTTCAACGGCTCTTCACATACCTCGGGGTCTAGACTCGCGCGTACCCCGACATCCGGTGGACGATATCCACGCATCTCGGGGTCTAGAACCACCGACAGGTCGTATACGCTGTACGACTGTCGAGGGGACACAGACAGGGGGTTGAAGTCCTAGTCGGGATCTGTACCAGAAGGTGCTATCAGGCTGACCCAGGGTCATCGCTGGCACTGATGAGCAGATGAAATGTTGACCTTAATGTCGTGCTTATCCCAACATCCTCTGCCCCCAGCACTCTCTAACTCATTGTCATCATCGCTCGGTCGGGGAGTGAACTCCTCCTCACGTGTACACTAAATCCCATTTACTCTTGTTGCGACCAGCTTAAATACATAACAGACTTTTTGGATACCAATGAAACAAAAGAGATAACATCACCAAGAATGAGATGCTAAAATGTGTTCAAAACAATTTATTGCACCATCAATGGAATGGTTGGGCTATAGTCTACCACTGGTCATAAAATTGTATTGTGGCCTTGACTAATAGCTCCTCAGTGTTTCTTGTCTGATCAACACCTTTTCAGCTCATATCTTTGTGGGTTTGGTCACAAATGTCTGCAAAAAATTAGTGACCATTTTTTTGGCGCTCACATTCTGTTGGTGAACTATTTTTGGTGATCTAAATAGATAAGTTGATTTTAAGAGTATCCTGACATAAATAAGCCACACAGGGTGTGAAAAAAGATATCAATACACAACCAATTCAGTGGCAATTGTTCAAGCCACTACAACCAAACTAATATTCTCTCCATCCAACTCATTTTCTGATAGATTATCCTCCACCTCTTCCACCTTCCCTGCAGGAGCATTGAGCTCTGCAAGTCGAGCCAAATTCCGTTTATGCTGTTGTTTTACCTCCTCGTCAATCCCAGCCAACCTTTTATCAATATCCTGAACTCGCTTAGATTGTGATGAGCGCTCAAAGAGTGGCTTAGCTGTTTCCCAGAGTTTGAGTGCTCTCAATAAATCATCATTCTTCTGAGATATGTCCCCAAGTCGGATCATGCATTCTGCTCTGCTTTGGTGGACATCCATTTCTGTGAATTCCTCCAAGGCAACATTAAACAGAGAGACAGCTGTAGCTTCATCGTTTTCATTAAGAAAGGCATCACCCAGGAATTGAAGGGCTTTGTTAATATTTAGTCTCTGCTTTAGCTTAAGGGAATATGCAAGGAAAACTGTTGTCCACGAGGAAGGATGCTGTGATTCCTCCCAGCAGCTGATATCACCAAGTCTCTCGAGGCAGAGGGTCACCACATCTGAGAAGCTTCCCCATGCAGACCTGAGGCATTTGCGGAACAACAAGTTTGACATATCCCCTTCTCTGAGATTGAGAGCTGCTTGACAGCATACACAATACATTATTTCTCTCTTGTGACCTTGCTGCTCAAAGATGGCCTTTGATGTGTCAAGCTTC